CGTGCGTTGCTGCAGCATTGTGGCCAGAGCGCTGTGCGGGTCTGGTGTCGGTGAATAGCTACGCCATCAATGATATCGCCACCCTTGGCGATTTGGATGTGCCATCAATCGAAGCTGGATTCTGGTATTTTTATTACTTCCTAACATCACGGGGAAAGAGAGTGTTGTCTGAAAATGCGAAAGAGATTGCCCGAGTTGTTTGGACCAAAAACTCTCCTGCATGGAACTTCACTGAGGCTGACCTTGATCGTACAACCAATACATACGATAATCCAGCCTACGTCGAAATTGTGTTGCATGTTTATCGACAAGGTCTTGGATACGCAGCTGGGGATCCTGCCTATGCTGATATCCAAGAGCGATTGTTGGCAAACCCAGTTATCAGAGTTCCCACAGTAACTCTTGATGGTCTTGATGACGGTAACTTTCCTGCGACCAACGGAAGTTCCACAGCGAAATATTTCACTGGACCGAGAGTACATCATCAGGTTCCTAATGCAGGTCATAATCTCCCACAAGAAAATCCGAGAGCTTTTGTGGACGCGGTTCTCGAGGTTGCCAGACTAAAGTAGTAGTTGTCGCAGGGCTCCAATCAGGAAATTTGTCGAGAACATTCTCAAGGGCAACAGGAGGTGTGGGTTTTCTTGAGGCATTTATTTATTCCTACAAATATATTAAACAGGCTAGAGTACATAGGACAAGATACACTTTTATATTTACCAATAACGATATAGGAGCTAATCAGGCGCCATCATTTCACTAGTTCGACCTTGAATGCCTTTAACTAGGAAGGCAGCCACCTGAATGCAATATCTCTGATATCTTTCATCCAACATCCTCTGCTCACTACAATCATCATTAAATTTATCCCGATTACGAGATTAGATTACCTAGGCTACTAGAATTGTTTTCTGTGTGGGACACTACTAACATCAAACTCTATGGTAGGAATATTTAACACGGCATGATATGACGATCGTTGAGAGCGATATCCGAGGATTCAATGAGTCAGTTAATTTTGCGTCTAAATGTCTCTTCTGAGTATGACATCCAGATTACTGACTTGAGCTGTAAGGGTTGAACGTTTGACACGCGGTTGCAGAGAGCGCTTAATAGTTGATTTGCTCTTTTGAGCTTGACTCTAGTTTGACATTGTGTGAAAAGACATAGTGTGAAAAGACATAGAAGGTGTAGAGTAGGTGGGTTGATTTGCTCGGTTGCCAACGCTGTTTTAGGCCTGAACTAAAGGCACCCAAATCTCCGGTACCGGATAACACCTGGACCACCAACCGCCATAGTAATTTGTTGGTAAGCTCGGTATCCGCCCCATATCCCACGCGTAACGCGTTGTACTTCATACGCGTTTTATTTTCCTGTGTAATTGAAGCTATTCCCACCTGCTTTTTACTGTTTTACTACTCCAACGGCTACTACCTCCCCAATAGCCTCTACTTTAAATCCTTGTGGGCCTCCTCCTCCAGAAGAGTTATACCCTGATTTAGACACTCTTAAAAGCAAAGCTCAGGCTTGGGCGCGCGTTAATGGATATGCATTTGTTACACGTGCTTCATACCCCAATGCCAAACACCCCAAAAAGGTAATCCTTATTTGCGATAGAGGAGGTGATTTCCGTCAACATGGCACAAAGCCTGAAGTTCACCCCTCTAAAAGGCGCAAATCAGCTACTAAAAAGTGTGGCTGCAATATGCGGGTGATTGGGGTTTTAGAAGAAGATGAGTGGAAGCTCCAGGTTATAGAGGCTGCACACAACCATGAAGCCTCTACTACTTTGCTAGCACATACACAGTACAGAAGAGCAGCTGTGGAGCCTGCAATTAATGGTCTGATTGTATCCCAGGCTCAAAGTGGAATAAGGAATGCTCAAACCCTCAATTTCCTTCAAGCCCACCACTCTGAGGCTCATACATGGGTGTCCTGTTAATCGGTTAATGACATGTAACGGATTAACGTAACAAACTATGACGCTATAACATATTAACATAACAGGTTAGCAGAATAGTAACAGATTAACAGCATAAGCTAAAAACTTTCAACAAGGCCTGCTAGCTCTTCATGGACTATCCCTAGATCATCTTCCGGCTGTGGAACTATGGGCAGTCCCATCCCATTAAGATACACTGGTCGAATATGTCCTTCTCGTAACCAGTTACCGATGCACTCAATTCTCTCAATGTTTTGGCAGCTGAGACGTAGCCTGTCCCACGAGCATGTCCTACGAGTGCCTGAGAAGGTCCTCTCTGGTTCTGATGACTCTGCCGGTATAGAGAGGAATGTGAGAGCCATGCGTTTTAGTTTACTCTGCTCCCTGCGACACCACCATTCTAATGGTGTACAATCGATATCAATAGGCTGAGACATGACAAAGGCCTTGAAATCATCGGCATCAGGTGGGAGAGCTTTCTTCACCTCCATAGCTTTCTTCAACCTATCAAGCTGATTAGGCACATACTTCGGCGGCGGCGCCATCGGCTCAGTCTGTTCAGATAGCGGAAGACCAGTTGGCGGAGTAATAGGAGGTATATTCTTGAATCCCTCTTCCCAAATTGCATTGGCAGCAGTCAAGGCAGGCTCATGCCACTCTGGCGGCCAGTTCTGTTTGATATATGCACCTCGCTTTGATGAATCAAGAAGAAGAGCGGTAGTATACGCAGGAGATTCATCGGTTTTGTGATAGTATTTATCAATGATAAACCAACCCATCTCAATAGAATGAAGCATTCGGGAATCATACTGATCGGGTCGCGAGTATTTCTCCTACAAACTTCCGATTAGTTGTAGTCTTGCACAAACTGATAAGATGATCTACCTTTTCTTGTTCATAATGAAGCAGAAGAGCATCCATTAGAAAAAGAGACTGTGAGATTGATGAATGGGATCCTTCTGCATAAAGGGTGGCCGAGGCAAAGGGCTGTAGAAATAAATGTATTTTTGTTAGGAAATCCCAGTCGTAAGCAGTAAGTCGAATCTCTCCTAGAATCATCTCATGATCTGTCATGAATTGTACAATCTGCGATTTTTTATTAATGGCCTTATCTATCACATGGTACTAAGATGACTACCTGGTAGCATTATCAATTCCTAGACGGAGACCGACAGCATCATCCCAGAGATTGGCATGTAGCGAGGAATTTCTTAACCAAACAGCCAGTTCGTGAAGCTTACGCAAAGTAGGCAAGCTGTCTATGCCGCGAAACTCTTCTGGGAGGCCTTGACTACTATGATTGCCACGTGTCCTCTGTTCCTGTCATCTTCGGCCGGCTGAGCTTTGAGCAGCTAGTGTCTCGGAAAACTGAGGAAGAAGCTCTTCTCCTCCTGGCACTGCTGCGGTAGCATCTAGAGCTGCTCGAAGAGCTTCTCTTGAAGTCGCAAGAAGGGATGCCTGAAGTGAAAGATTGAAGATATGGGCAATACATCGGATACGACGGTGCTTGGCATCAAATTTAACCTATTAATAGGTATTAGCGATGAAGTCTCATAATAGGCTATTCACAAACATTATGCTCAGCCAGCAATCGAGATTGTAGCGATTTCAGGCATGTGTCATTTGACGTCGCGTTGTCACCCGTGTGCCAGCCGAGTTTTGACTGAATCCCGAATCGTACAAGGGTCTGTAGAATAAGGTCTGCTTGACGTTCACCGGAGTGATTATATCGACATTCGGGAAGTGCTAATAGTGCCTTCTGCAGTTGGTAATCTTTATCAACCCACTGAGCGCAGACAGCAAGAAAAGCATGGCGATGGGGTGATGTCCAAAGATCGGAGGAGATATGGATTGGGCTTAGTGCCATAGCGAGGCTCTCTTTGATCTGCTCGGCATAGAGCATGTAGTTGGCGATGATATGCTGTACAGCAATTCGCCTAGATGTGATCAGCTGGTCCTCGATTGCTGGATTGCATGCCAGAGCAGGTTGTTTGAGCTCATCCCATTCCACTGCTGAAAAGGGTATTCTCCGACGAGTGAGAAGTCCAATTATCGCCTCTCGGTATGCTTGTGGATTGAAGCTATTCCGAAGAGCATCATTCGAAGCTGTAGGAAGAAACATTGCGCTGATGGAACGTTGTGGAGTGGGGGCAGATACAAAGGGAGATGAAGCAGTTGGATGATGAGACCTGACGTGCAGGACCGCATTGTGTCGGTGACCATGGCGGTAAGGTGTACAGATATTACATATATACATGACAGGGCCTTTACTCTTTCGTTTTCGACCTGGTTCCAACGGGGTATTTGCCTCGGGGTACTCGGTGCGCATAACAGTATAGAAGTTCGAAGGCAGCGAAGAAGAAGAATTAGTCGTGATGTCAGTTGAAGAAGATACATCGGACGCCATTTTGATATCGGATTTCCGTGAGAGAACAACATCATGGATCTAGCTTTGATGAGGCAATTCCAAACTTATAGTGCAAAGTAACCTACATTAATCGCTTATTAATAATTGGTAATACAATAAGTTAGTTTATTTCGTTAATCTATTCTGTTAATCTCTTGTAACAGGTTAACAGACAAAATCAGGAAGGTTAAACATGTTAACAGTATAACAGAATTAGAGCCTCGTCTAACAGGTTAACAGATTAACTAACAGGTTAACAGAACAACTTACCTATGTATACGGCCTATCTATACGGGTTGTAAGGTGTATTATCGGGGTTGTGGTGTTAGTTCGTAGTTCAGACGTTTTGTGGCTATAGCAACAATAAGTTAAGCTTAAAGTGCTTACAGAAAGTTAATATTAATAAAATAGAAGATGTCAAGGAGTTTTGCCGACTTATAAGTACTAAGATAACTTATAATAATACAGATAGTATTAAAGCCTTAGAAATATTTACTGAACTTAATCTAAGTATCTTAGAAAGCTTAAATCTAAATACTTAAATCTAATTTAATAAAAAAAGTAAAAACGGATAAGTCAGGTTAGATCTGCCAGAAAAGAGAAGGTTATATACGATATACGAAAATAAGAGTTCATGCGAATAAGATTCCCGGTCTTATAGTATAATGGTTATTACCTTCTATTCTTAGACTCTTAGAGTAGAGTAATTCAGGTTCGATTCCTGATAAGACTTATCTTACCCTTTACTATACACTTTGATTATAGAGTGTACAGTGAGGGTAAGAGCCTTTTCTTTTCCTTTTTCTTTTCCTTTTTCTTTTCCTTTTTCTTTTCCTTTTTCTTTTCCTTTTTCTTTTCCTTTTTCTTTTCCTTTTTCTTTTCCTTCTTTTTTTTTTCTTTTTTTTTCTTTTTTTTTTCTTTTTTTTTTGAAGTTTATTTATATTTACTTATATTTATCAAAGATGATAATATTATATAATAAGGTTTATACTGTTAAAATCAGGAAATTCTATTTTATCTATAACATTAGAGTATATCTTGGTAAGTTCGTTAATTATAGTTATAACTTATAATTACTTCTTTGTAAATATATTACATAAAGTTAATTTAACGTCTTAAGTATAAAGTTATCATGAGTATACTTAGACTTAAACTTATTAACAAAAAAAACCAAAAAAAAATTTAATTTTTTATTTATTTAAGAGTATAATAACTATTTATACTATAGAACCGGGGGCTACTGTATAGTCTCTATCGTCCTCTTGTCTTTTAAATGGAGATTGAGTGTTACGGTAATATCATTGGCTCGGTAGACGGTTTGGCACTAGTAGCTCTAGTGGCTTGGCATTGCTCTTTTGTTGCATATCTGAGCCTTGGCGCTCGGCTGTATTCCTTTCCTTGTATTTCAGGCCTTAGTTCTCGCTGCCTGACGGCACTTAGCTAGCATATAGCCTCACTCTGGTGCGGCTCAGAATAGACCCAACCTTCCACATCACTCTGAACATAACATTGAGATAGACACTACACAACATAAGCTCTACCGAGAATCGAACTCAGATCTCTCTCTTTATTCAGAATGTAGAGTGTTAACTATTTTACCATGCAGCCTGTCTTGTTATATCTCGTTCTTTTAAACTTAACTATAAAGATAGGTCTGTCACGACCCCGCAAGGTTGTAACAAGCGACCGGATTATAGGGCCTCCATAGCCGTCGCCTTAGTTAAATAAGTATAAATTAAGACGGCTATCAGGGACCCGGTTATGGTATCGCTAGTACTATCGCATTACTAGTACTAGCGAAAGGATAGTACAAGTTCAACACTAGTACTACAAAAAGGGTTGTACAAGCTAAAGGATAGTACTATCGAAGTTGTAGTACTAACCCTTTGGTTGTACTAACTAGGAGGTAGTACTATCGGGAAATTAGTACTACCTTTCCGCTTGTGCTAGCTATTTGCTTGTACGTGCAGATAGCTAGTACTAGCAAATAAGCGATCACGTGAGGCGTATACCCAGTATATCCAGTATATCGAGTATAGGGTATAACCAATATACTCAATATACCAACCCTCACTATATAGGTAGATAGCTTCACAGTAGATAGGAGCTTCGTGCTCAACTCAATTGATTTTCAGTATACCTGCATTTCATAGTAACGACCCTAAGCCTTGTGAAGCTATTCTCTTGCCCTTTACCTTCATCTATCATTTGAGTGATAGATAACCTCAAACCCTTGTAGGAACGTTACAAGGTCTTCAAGATAAAACTTAATATGTCTTCTTTTTAGACTTCTTAAGAAATCTGATTTATTATCTGTTTAAGATAAAATCGTTATATTATATAGTAAAGGTTCATATTATTAGAATCAGAAACTTTCGCTTTATCTATAACATTAAAGTATATCTTAATAAGTTTACTGGTTAAGTTATAACTATAACTTGTAATACATCTTCATAGTTTTTGGTTACATGATATGTAAGGTGCTTAGCCTGAGATGTGAGGCCACTGCCGGCGCGCTCTTACCCGATTAGGCTAGAGCGAGGCCCAACACCAGCTCGGAGCGAGGTGAAACACCAGGAGGCTGATAACTTTCGGATCTTGTGAACTCTGAACTTCGCGGCCAGCTAAATCGACGACCAGGCATCGCATAAGCTCGTAAGCGGTACCGTTAGAGAGCTAACTGCAGGACCTATACGCGCATGTAATTCTCATTGCCGTGCAACGGCTGGTCGTCGAGATATGCGGCTCGGAAGCGCAAAATGACCGTTTTTTCGACTTCGCAGCCCGATATCTCGACGACCGGGGGTTGCACGCACGCGCGACCGGCACCGTTCGATAGGCTGCTCGATTCTCTACAAACGCGACGGCGGAAGCTTCGTCGTAGCTTACAGCGCCGCCGAGATATGCTGCCGCGAAGATGGGGCGCTGCGAAAAAGTGAGGCGTCGCACCACGGGATGGGCCGATAGTTTGCACATCACGCAAGTCTGAAAGCCTCAGTTGTTGTCAAAATAAAGTTATGGGCGATCTGGCGCCACCGATCTGAGTCCCGATCTGAGTCCATCTAGTTACCTATTTCGGATGCGCTAACCGCATTTGGCCGCCGAATTGAGTCAAATCGGAGGCCTCCTTACGTAAAGGTTTCCGGATGTTTACCGTTATGAGGGGGGATCGGGGGAGGAGAAGGTAGAGGAGAAAACTTTGAACAAATTGAGTTTTTGCGTGAAAAATTAAAGCATAGTATAGCATTAATATATATGACTTTTCTTTATACATATTATTATATGCTAAGGTCAAGACAGTAAGTAGCGAAGTATAAATTAGATTGGTAGTGGACGACCGGTCGCGTATTGTACGTGACTGGGCGAAGTAGGCGCCCGTTGACCGCACAACGAACGCGATCGGACGCCCAGACGGGCACCACCCCCCCCCCGGTAGTATTCACTTTTCACTCGATATCTGGACTTCTCCAAATGGATACCTTCTTTTAGGGATCTGTGCACATTCTACTACACACCCTCTCAAGAGACAAAAGGCCCTCCTCGCCCTTCGCCAAATAGCGGGCCATAGTGGAGAGAATCAATTGGATACTCTTCTTCCGGTTCTTGAAGATTATGGTATTCTACGACAGCTTGGAGCTATTGTTGCTGATAATGCTAGCCCGAATAATACCCTTTGCAAAGCAATAGAGAATTATATGTGGGATAAGCAAGATATTACATGGAATGCAGAGCATTGGCGGATCCGTTGTAGTGGTCATATTGTTAACCTTGCTGTTCAAGCTTTTTTATTTGTTAACGTTGTAGAAATAGAAGAGCTTAAGTTATATGATGATCAAGATCAGAGAGGAGAAAGGGAAGGCGAAGAGAGAAGAGCAAAGTTTCGACTTATGGGACCTCTTGGCAAGATGCACAATATCATTGTCCATATCCGTGGTTCAACTGCTCGTATTGCCGAGCTTTTCAGGTTTGCAACAAAACGGATCCCACTTGGTAATCGCACAAGGTGGAATCGCTGGTATATAATGCTTGTTATTGCTTTGGAATTGAGGCCAGCGGTTGAGAAATATTTTCAGAACCATGAGTCAGACTTAGAAGACGACGAACTTTCTAATACAGACTGGAGACGGCTTCGTATGATTATGCAGTTTTTGGAACCCTTTAGTCAAGCAACTCCTTATACTGAAGGAGACTCTGCGGCGATCGATCGGGTCCTTTTTAGTATGGACGTTTTAATTACACACTTTCAACGTTCACTTGTTAAATATAAAAACGATAAAGACTTCGCTTCTCGGATTAATAAAGGGTGGCAAGTCTTTGATAAGTATTATTTAAAGACGGATCTGCCTCCATTGTATGCTGCTGCTCTTATCCTTCACCCGGGTCGTCGTACAAGATATATTGAGGTCAATTGGCCAGAGAAATGGATAAAGTCAACTTTGGAAAAGGTTAAAAAGCTTTGGGAGAAGTACCGGGAAACTACTCCTTCTCCTGTTGTTTTAGTTTCTTCATCATACAGCAATACTTCTAAAGAGCCAAAAGAGCTTAATGCTTCTGATCAGATTGCTCAGAGCCTTGGCAGTTATGCTCGGCCAGCAAGCCAAGACGAGTATGAGGACTACTATTCCGGAGAGCCATACGGTATCAGTCAACCCTCAGCACTTGAGTGGTGGTGTGAGGATGCGCAGAGACAGCGCTGGCCCCGGTTATCGCATATGACTATTGATATTCTTTCAATTCCAGACTCTACTGTGTTGCGCGGAAGTACAGAATCGATGACTTGGCGCAACTCGTAAAAGAGCAGGCGGGGCAGGTGGTCGGGGAATATCCAGCGTTGGAGGTACTCGAGATTATACAACGAGCGTGCGAGTCATTCGCCGAGGATGACAGTTGGCTGGATGAGGTTATCCAGGTTCAGTCCCGCCATCTAGTTCAAGTCTGTCTGATTCACAGTCAGAACGCCGTTCAGAATCTGCTTCTAGTTACAGATAGGGTCAGCAGGATCCTTTTGCAAGAGATGATTCTCCGCTGTTCCAAAACAGCGGCCGAAACTCCGACTGAATCCACCGTGGGCGATGAAGGCTCTATGGCCCATGATTACATAGCCATTGACGCTCGTGGCACAGATGAGGAGTCATTGATGACGAAGGATCCCGCACCGGATCTCAACTGTGTCCGAGATGATGAGTCGGGTAAGGAACAGTCTCTAGAGACACTCCATGCGGAAGAAGCATTGCGACTCCACACCATGTCTGAGCCAACGCTGAAGAAGAAGAAAGCAAAGAAAGAAAAGAAGAGACTTCATGATAGAGGATGTTTGGAGGAGGTACATCATATTCTTGGCAGTAATGATGACTGGGCGAAGTGCGATATATGTCGGGCCAAGGTTGGCAATCTAGCGGTTTCGTATGCCGAAAATTAGTTCTCATGTGCTTTGTTATTTACTGTTACTTCACTGTGAGGTCTTTGTAACTGCTGTAAGTATAGCTGCAAGTAGCAGAAACTGTCTGCTGTGACTGAATTCCTAGAAAACACCAACACTCGTTTCGGCCGACCGTGTATCCCGCCCCGCTACCCCCACTTCAGGCGTCTCTGATGCTCGTCCCAAGCTTGGTGGAGCCACTGGAACCTGCCGAGGCCATCCCACTCGATGACCTCGCAGGGCGTGAGGACCTCAAGCACAAGCACTGGGATTGATTGCAGGAGGCCGAGGATGCCAGCAGGTTGTTAGTCACG